GAGAGAGAGAGAGAGAGAGAGAGAGAGAGATAGATAGAAAGAAACATCATTGGTGAGAGAGTCATTGATCGGCTTCCTCCTGCATGTCCCCAACTGGGGATTGAGCCTGCTACCCGGGCATGTGCCCTGACCCATCAAACCAAGATTTCCTGGATCCTAGGGCAATACTCAACCACTGAGCCAAGCCTGGCCGGGAGTGTGTGGGGTTTTTTTTTATGTTTAATTGTCAGCTGCTTGGCCGGGCGTGGCTCAGCAGTTGAGCATCAGCCTAGGATCCAGGAGGTCATGGTTCGATTCCTGGTCAGGGCACACGCCGGGTTGCGGGCTCTATCCCCAGTTGGGGGCCTGCAGGAGGCAGCCGATCAATGACTCTCTTGTCATTGATGTTTCTATCTATCTCTCCCTCTCCCTTCCTCACTCTGAAATCAATAAAGATATACTTTAAAAAAAAAAAAATTTGTCAGAGAGGAATTTTCAGCTTGGTTTTCTCTTTGTTCATGAAACTGTTTGCTTTAGAGTGTAAACAGCTTCAGAACAAAAAATTCTATCTTTAGTGTGTTCTGTGCAGTATCCCATACAATTTCAATGCACTAACTTAGGCCATTCCAGTGATGCCACCAATCACGAAGAATAAGAAAGGAAGGTGCCTTTACTAGTCAGCCCACCTTAGAATCGTTATCAAAAGTAGACAGTGGCTAAATAGTACATGGTCTCTGGGGCTTTCCCTCATCTGTGCGAGCATCAGTGTCCTGGTCAGATGGCCACACTCCATGGAGCCAACACTTGGGTCTCGGCTCCCTAAGCAGTGTGCTCCCTACACAGCCAGCCTCCTGCTTGGCTTGTCTGGAAGGCTTCTCTCATCCAACTGTGCCCTGAAGCGTGACTGGGAGCCACAGCCTGGCTGCAGGCAGCTGTGCTCCTGAAAGGAGGGTGTGTGTGTGGCCAGAGCAGGGCACAGGAGGCACAGGGCTCAGGTGAAGCAGGAGTGCAGGTGGGGCCAGATCATCCAGGGTTCCCATCACCATGTTCAAAGCCTTGTGTTCTACCTGGGAGTCAGACACGGATTGTGCTGGGAGAGCCCCAGGTCAGGAGGGGAGCGGCAGGAGTATAAAGCAGCATACCAGGCTCAGGGTCCTGGTCACCCCTGAGGAACAGGAGGTGCCCTGTGGGGGGTCAGTCTCCTCTTTTTGGGGTAGTGCGTTTGTTTTGTAGCTGCTCTTTTATTTTTTTCAAACATATCGTTATTAATTTCAGCGAGAGGAAAGGAGGGGGAGAGAGAGACAGAAACATCAATGATGAGAGGGTCATTGATTGGCTGCCTAGCCCACAAACTGGGCATGTGCCCTGACCGGGAACCAAACCCCGATCTCCTGGATCCTAGGTTGATGCTCAACCACTGAGCCACGCCGGGCTGTAGCTGCTCTTTAAACTGGACAAGTACAGCTCCTACCACCCTTCCCTTGTTTACGTGGGGCCTAGTTCACATCGGAAACTGGAGAATACAGAGTGGCATGAGGAGCCTCTCGGCGGCTTGGGCTGTGTTTCTAGAAAGTCCAACTAGTTTTTTAAAATTTTGGACTTATGTTTTGTTATGTCACTCATATTTTCTGCCCTCGTGAACAGAGGTTTTTACACAGGACGTTCCCTGACTTGGGCTGTGACTCAGGAAAACCAGCGAGTCTGCCGTGTTTATGTGACTCGCAGAAACGCTCACACTGACTACCCCCCCCCCC